TAGAGGACGAAAAATGACTTCAATAAATGAATGGATAAATAAATGTATAAATGGGTTCAGGAATAAATATCTAAATTAATACTGAAATTAACATGGAAAATTTTCTACATTTTTGTTCACTTACATTTAGTAATATGTATTTTTGTATCTGTTTATTAGGTAAGACGGTTTATGTATTTATTTAAAATTTATTCTTAGCATTTTTTTAATTAATTCATTCCTGTATTTACTTTTACATTATATTATTTTTATATTTATTTACAGATTTATTTATTTCCATATTTATTCCTATGGTTTTATACATTTTATTATTTATGTATACATTTACTTATTTCTGTATTGATTTACACCTGCATGCATTTATTTAATCATGTATTTACACTTAAGTCATTTTTCCTCCTCCATGGGGCATAAGGGAGATATGTTGTGTTTTTTTTTATCTTTATCCCCCAACTTGAATTATACGTGTTTGTCATAGCAGGTAAAGCACAGGTGTAACCAATAACATCACCATGGCTGAATTTCCACCATCTTTATTGATTAAACCTGTGTTTTTCCTGCCAGTACATGTCAGATTTCTACTGTATGAAATGCCTGCTTAACCTTGTGTGTTCATGTCTTATGAACACACAACATCAGATGCAGCAACAGATTTAAAAAGGTCAGAGTAACATAAAATTGAGCTGTTGAGAGTAAATCAGCTGTCACCGCATAATGAGAGAATAAATCCCTACTTACCTCAGCCAGTAGATGGCAGCAGGCTGTATTAAGAAGGGGACATCGTCTCCTTTCACTCACATACACACAAATACACACACATTCACACTGAGCACCGTCTAACCCTCTTTCCCATGATGTCATAGCCAAGAACCAGCCCTAGAGCCTGCATCCCAGCTCTCCCTGGGTGTGTGTGCGTTAGAGAGAGAGAGATTGTGTGTGTCTCTTGCTGTATCCATGGTGTTGCAACAGTTGGCTTCATGCTGGTCATGGCTGTCAGAGTGTGATATTTTACTGAATTTGACAGAATGTGAATAAGCTTCTTAATTTCTCGCTCTCCTCTTCACGTACAAATAAACTAACCAAGGGATGAAGATATCCTGTAGCTTTAGTTCATAGTCTGTGTGTTCTTGTTTTTTTTCATTATAATTGTCACTGCGGCACAGACTTACTCTCACTTTTGTGTGTTCTTCGCATGTGGATGGTTTGCAGTGACGGTGAGTGCTTGCTTTTCATTTCTTTTTTATCCTCCGTCTGTCTCTTTTGTTGTCTCTCTTTTTAAAGCAGCCTCTTCTTCCTCAGGTAAAGACAGAAACAGATGGAGAGACAGGGAAAAAGGAGGAGGAGGGGGTTTCAAAATGCCTAGCAGAAGAACAACATCCTCCAAACCCATCCCTCCCTCCCCTTCTCCTCCTCCTCTTCCTCCACCACGGCCTCCCCTTCGTTCACGTCGCAAATCCAAGTCACCTTCATCCCGCTCCAACCACTCGACCCCAAAACGAGCCCTGGATTTGGACAAAATTGGGGCCACGTCTGACACAGAAGACAGCAGGCAAACCTGTAGAGGGTCCCGAGACCTCCGGGGCTCCCAGGGTTCAGAGCTGGACAGGAAATGGGAGGGTGTGGCCTTGGAACTGCGTTACCGTGGCAGCAGGATGAGGTCGGCAGTGTACCAGACTTCAGACTTGCCCTCCATGGTCAAAGCCAAGAGACAGTTGGAGCAGAGTGAGGGCAAAGGGCAGATAGACCGAAGTAAATTGAAAGCAACCTTTGTTTGAGGAGCCTAATGTTTAGCTGACTCATAAACTGTCTGGCCTGATGTCGTGTCTGTGACTCTGACCACGCTGACGCAGTCTGCAGCAGCTGTAACATTGTCGAGGCCTAAAGTTTAGGCAAAGGGCTTAATGTCAACAACTGTGCAGCTGCACCCAGACTCGATACAGAAGGGTGCTATTAGTGGATGACAGGCTGAGATTAATCAAATGCTGTGTCCCAATTCCAGACTGCATACTCATTCCCAGTATGGACTCTGCAGTGGTGGAAAGCAACACTGTACAATTTTTTGAGCATCTCCATTTGATGCTACTTTGTACTCTTACTCCATTACTTTTAAAAGGAAAATATTGTACTTTTTACTCCACTATACTTATCTTCAGAACTTATTATAACAAACAAAACATACTGCCTTATGAAATTTAATGTATGCTTTGGTGAAAATGCCCAACTCCAGGAACACACTTTTTTTTTTTTTTTAATCTGTAGAAAAATACTATGCTGTCTAATTGAAAGTCAGATTAATTAGCACGTTTTCAATGATAAAATCTATAATGTATGTTAACTGCAAAAACAGCATCTACAACAATTGGTTTATTGTACTGAATATAACAAGTATTTAGTATGTAATTGGGACACAGCACTGCTATCTCTGGGCCTAGCTATTGGCTTTCTCCCTCACGTTGTGCCCATACAGGAGAATACTTGTATTTCTTTGGTTCTGTATTTTGACAGAAATCTGTAAATTAAAGGGGCACTGCAGCGATTCAGTATTGATCTTCCATTAAAGCTATAGTGCGTAACTTCTGTTGCCTCCCAGCGGATAATGCGTTATTACAACTAATAAGCCGGCGGCACTTCCATGTACACAGAGTAACACTCGCCAGTCGCCACACACCGTACACAGAGTAACACTTGCCTTTGCGGTAGGATCCACTTCTGAACCGTGTCTCGGCCGCTTCTTCGCCATGTTGCTTTCTCTTTCTACCTGCACTCTACCTCTCCACTCCTCCTCCCCCTCCCTTCTTGTTGTGAGGAAGCATTTCCTGTGTGCCAGTGCGGGAATGACGCCGGTCTACATGCATACTAAAAATGATATATATTGAAAAATACCACGAGATGTTAGAGGAGCCGATCGGCTTAATCAGCATTGTGTCATCTCCTCTAGTAGTGGCTTGGGTGAAATGGACATTTACGGACCTGTAGAAGTTACGCACTATAGCTTTAAGTCGGAAAACTTGCAAACAGGGAAACTTGAGGCAGCAGAGGCTGAAATATTCTGACTTGCAGTCCTCAGTGTGGGTCAGACACTTAAAGTGATGGCTCCAAGTTTTCCCATAATGACACTTCACAGCGTCTTTTGTTAGGCCCTCCCTGCCTCATAAACACCAACTCGTTTAAAACTCCACAACCCCAGTTTGCACCCCAGACTCTGTTAAAAATGTGCAGCCTTCAACCTTAAAGCTGTAGTTGGTAACTTTTATAAGGATATTTTTTTGTCATAAATGCTGAAACTGTCACTTCATCCACACAGAGGTACACCAATAATCAGGTTCCTCCTCCCAATCCAAGTGCTTATAATAGCATTTGCTAGAACCTACACAGCAGACAGTTTGCTCCACCTGATGGGCAAAGCTTAGTTTTTGGCTTAACTGTTCCCAACGTGGCAACTGGGTTAGAATTGTTCTCCTTTTACAGCTTAACTTTACACTAAAATGTGTTTGTGAAAACGTTTTTGCCAAAACAGTAGAATCTTGGTCCATATTTGATCAGCGCTGTCTAATTTGACAGTTTGACAGCTGCATAAGAGACTTCTCAGGTCTGATTGGTTGTTTTCGTTCATGTAACACCATTGTAAGCACTACCAGGAGGCAATGCTGGCTCAGGTAGAGCAGGTCGTCCACTAATCAGAAGATTGAAGGTTTGATCCTCGACTCCTCCAGTCCGCATGTCAAAGTATCCTTGGGCAAGACATTGAACCCCAAATTGCTCCCGATGGCTGTTGCATCGGTGTGTGAGAGGGTGTGAATGGTTACTGAGGAGCAGCTGGCTCCTTGTATGGTAGCCTCGGCCATGTGTGTGAACAGATGAATGTGACATGTGTAGTGTAAAAAGCGCTTTGAGTGGTCGGAAGACTAGAAAGGCGCTATACAAGTGCAGTCTATTCACCATTTACCACAGTTTTTATTCACAGATTATTTGTCTGATGTAATACTGTGTGGATACAGTGACAGTTTCAGCAAACAGGACAGTTATATTTTTTTTTAATAAAAGTTACCAACTACAGCTGTAAGGAAAGAGGACTCTTGTGACAGCACCAAGGTTTTCTTTGACTTGACTGAACTCCTCCAGAGCTGCAGAAGACATACAGCTGTTTTCACAAACAAATCTGAAGAGTGCCTTTTTAAGGGGTAGACAAATAATGAAAACTATAGCAGTATTAAAGTCAGTTAAAGTTCTACTTTCATAAACTGTTTAACATGTCAACCACCTGCATGACAATTAAATATGAGCAGTTTGAAAAATGAACCCTGAGACATTGTAAGCTGTCTGCGTTTTGTAGGATAATATAGTGAAGTGTTCCTGGCACCAACTTGTTCATTAAATTCACCTGTCATTCTAGGAATAAATGGCCCTGAACTTAGAGAGGCCCTGGAAGTAATACCATCCTGAAAACATCCAATCCTGAGTCAAGTGCTTTGGTCAATAGCAATGCAAGATTTATATTACACTGGGCCTTGTAGCTGTGAGACAACAGCAGGACTGCTGTAATCACCCTTTTGCCCTCAGGATGTACTCACTCAGTGGATGTGACATGTTCACATAATAAAATATTTTCTTGACTAGTAATCTTGTATAATCATTTATTTGTTGTTGCGGATTTGAATCTAATTCGCTCATTTTACATCTCTTAATTGGCATTACTCCGGAGTCAACTTTTACAGATTAAACTAGCTTTCCACAGACAGAGCAGAGGCACCGCTGATTAGCATTAAGGCAACATGAATCCCTGTCTAACACCCAGCTCAGGGCCAGCTTTATGAGTTAAGTGAAAGGTGCGCGAGTTATGCACTTTTAATTGAATTTGCTCCACTGTAAACAATATGCACTTGACGCAGGGTGACAACTGTACTAACTTGGCACGACCCTGCGGGGGGAGGCTGGTATCTCTCCCCGCCTCGGTGCTGTGATCGTCGGGGAGAGAGTGCAGTCTGCCGGCGGGGCTTGGGCTGTAAAGGCTATTTTGAAAAGTGACCTCCCCTCTCTATGGACTCGTGCACACACACACCACACACAGCTGCTCGGAACCATGACAGAAGATGACGGATACAGTGGTCGCGGAGGGACAAGTCAAGTTTAGAGATGGAAAAAAGGTTAATTTCTCCAATATTATTCTTATTTTTTAACTTTAAAATGTTTTTCCATACTTCAGAGACAACTACAGGAATATATTTTGTCATTTAATGATTCTTTACAAACTTCTTCACAGTGGAAGACTCGGTGCGTCGTTCTTCGGAAGCCCTCTCCGGTCGCAGGTATAGCACACCGTCTTTATTTTCACACCCATCTAATTATTTCCACTCAAACTGTGAACCCATATATAGCGACAGAAAACCCAGTTAATTCATCCGTGTCATTCAGTACCAATGTTAACTGCTTTTCTGTGGTTAAACTAATCACAACTTGTAAATTGGTGTCTTGGCTGTGCGCCACCGGAGCGCGCGTTGGGTATAAGCTTCAACACGTGGGGATGTCAAGCAGTACGACAGTTGAAATAATCGATTGGATTTCTTTAATTGACCAAATTCACATTTTAAAGGATGCGGGCAAATGCCTGTCTAATTCAAATTAAGACTGGATATGAAATTAAGTCTGATGTGTTTTTAGTGCCAGTTGGATTTTAGGTTAATTATTTGAACGCCTCCCAGCTATAAACGTAACCTGTGACTGCCACAGTGTACCAGAGGTTTCTTTGCAAGCTTGGCAGAAACTGAAAGCAGCATGTCTGAAAACAGTATTGAGTTTCACTTGAGATGCTGTGAGGACAGACGCTGTGCCTCTCTGCATACACAAACATGTGGCTGGAGCTGTAGCCTACTGCTGTGTCCTTGAGGAAAGTGGGTATAATGTACTGCTGTGTGTGTGTGTGTATTTGTGTCTTGACTTTCATCAGCAGCTGTGCCAGTGGATCAGTTCATTGTTTTAGGGTTTGTTTTGACAGCTGTTCTGTAAACACAGGCAGGCATGCAGCGGAGATGACAAAAAAGCGACTCTTTTGTTATTCTGCTATTAATCAGAAAATTGAACTTTAAGCCTGTCTGTCTGTAAAGCTCCTCACTCTGTGCGTCTCTGCATCAGACTGTCTGACTCTGCTGGTGTATAAAGAGAAGAAGAAAGGGAAGGAGAAGGGCACAGGCCACAAGGAGAGGCTCAATGTAACACTGGAGGTATGTTAAACAGCAGCAGACCAAAGGCCCGCTGCTTCTGATCTCAAGTGCAGCTTTGTTACAGCTTTTTATTGTTGTCACAAAATGAACCTCAGCCTTTCTACTGCTGCCACATGTAAAATAATGAGTGCCACATGGATGGATAAGAATATTGAGGATGTAGTGGCATCTAGCAATGAGGCATAGATTAGAATTCCTTCAGCATTCATTGCTCAGGAGGTTTTTACCAGGAGCCAAATTATCTTTAGAGGTCTCTTTCTCCTCCAAAACAGATCGTCCAGGTGATTTAAAACCGTGAAAACACTGAATAACATAGTTACACCTTACAAATCAGTGTTTGTGTGCTCACATTTGGTCAATCATAACTTAAGATAAAGACAATGTTTTTACTGGGAGCCAAATCATCTTCAGAGGTCTCCTCTTCACCAAAACTCCATTTATATATTGGCAGAAACTCCATGTCTGCCAAAATATCCCCCTAAATCCTACACACTGGACTTTAAGCTGGGTCATGAATGGACTTTCAAATGGTTGGAGCATTAATTGAAAAAACTGCAAGACGGCACTCGCCTAAGGTCACCTGGGATAGGCTCCAGCGACCCTGTGTCAGGATAAGCAGTTACAGAAAATGAATGAAAGCAATAGAACAAACAATCAGGGACAATATATCAAACTCAGGAATTCAGCATCAAACAAAGAGGAGAAAAGAAGAGTATCTATGCCTAAAAGAATTCACTTGACCTCAATCAGGAAAGGCACGGCTCTTTTGATTGAGGTTGATCAGACTATTTCCCTTTTTAGATTAAAAAAAAACAAAAACAAAAAAAAAAACAGAATAAAAGAGTAATACAATCTAAATGACTCGTGTGATTTACTCTTTTCCTCAGGGGATCTGTGGCGTGGAGCCAGGGCCCGGTTATGACGGGGTATCCTACACCCTCTCCATCCTCTGCCTGGCTCACACGCTGGTCCTGGGCTTCACCAGCCGAGACACGCTGCTGGCCTGGGATGCCCGCATCTGCTACAGCCTGGGAGAAGGTCAGTGGTTTGGTCTGTCACAGTTCTGAGCACTTGTTCAAGGATGTGATGTGCAGATGGTTCATGCACTGAAGGGGAAAGTCTGTTCACTAAGCTGCAGTTGGGTAACGCACATCAGAAATTCAGCTAGTTGTTTTACATCAGCTTGGTTTTTGTGTTTGCATTATGCACTAGAGGAAGCAAGGAGCCCAGAGAGTTGCATACAGCTGAAGAGGAGGCTGTTTTTTTGTGGATCAGCAGAACAAACAACGCTTGTATAGGGAATTATTTGTTTGGTTGAGTCAGTATTAGTATCTAAAGTATTGCTTAGTCAACCCTTAGGATTACATCAGATTTACCACGACCCAGTTCTTTTTGGTCATAACATGTTTTAAAAGATTAAACCATGAGTGTGGTCATATGTATGTACAAGAAGAATATCCTAGATCCTTTGTAGTTTGGTTGGCTACAAGGTGTACTATTGTTGCAAAGTAACACTTCAGTGGAGGTCACTTGCTAGAGGGGATCAAAGAAATGACAAGTGGAATTACACACTGATAAAATCTGGCCTCTATCGCTCTGGTCCTCATCTATCTGCAAAATCTGCTGTCTCAACTTCACAACTTTCTTTTCAATGGAAAGTGTTTTGAGGGGCTGAAAAGGTCTAGGTGTAAGAAATGCCAAAGGACACTGAATCCCATTTTATATGGGTAAACTGCTAATAGAGTTGCTTTTATACAACTGATGAGATTTACTTAAAGGTTCTAATACAACATTTAGAACATTAATATAGCAGTAAACAACTATTTTCTATGTAAAGATATAGTGGAGTAATGGCGTCCTGAGCTGAGAATTAAATCACGCTACCTCTGTGTATGATAACGCCCTCCCAGCCTACAGTGGCAGGGTGACTGTTGCAAAAGCGTAGCATATTATGATAGACCAATATTCCCTATCCAAAAATACTTCCAATGCACAAAAAGACTTTTGCAAGAAGAGTTAAAAAAAAAGTAAACACTTTCACTTGAACTCCTCCATCTTCTTTCTGGATATACACAAGCATTTTATCTGTTGTTAAAAACTCTGTCTTTCAGTTATAAGTTTACTGTGGTTCTCTTAAGAATTCTAATGTGGACCCTTCACAAATAACTTTTCACCTCTGTGCAAACTTTATTGAGAAATGTCCTCTCTTATTATCATGAATTTTAAATGTCTGCAGTCTGATTTTTTTTTTTTTTTTTTTTTTTAGCTGTGCTTCACAGCCAGGCTGTGACTTGAATTTACATTTTCTGTGTAGCACTAGGGAGCACTGTCAGTGCTTACATTTTTAAACATTTTTCTGAACAGGTAATTCTTCTCCTTCCTCTTTCCAAAATATCACCTGAGGATATTTTCGAGGCTCCATCCTACTCCTTAATCATATTATCCAGCAGCGTTCTGCTCCTCCGTCATTATGTGAATGTCACATAATTTTATCTCGCCTTGAAGCCCACAAACGACAGTTTTGCTGGTATTAAGAGCTCGTGTCGGAGGACATTTTCCAGCTTAATAACAGCAGCTCTGTTCTTTCCTCTCCTTACTGTTAAATTCACAGCACATTAAATATTTTATGTTTCAGTCTAAAACCCAATGCTAAGAATCCTAATGTAAGGACTGACACACAGGGTTTGTAGCTGTGCTTTCTTTAGATGAGAATATTTTAAAATGCATCCACCATTAACTTCATTTCCTCTTAAAGATCACTACAGCTCTCTTCTCACAGCAAAAGTTGATTACCTGCATGCAGATTGTCCACAATGCTGCTGGCCAAATGCTGAAACCACAGTTTATCCTTCATGCAAATTATGAATACTTTACAACTGCAGTTAACATTTTCCAAAGCATACAGATTTCCATGCTTCAAGGTGGTACGTTTTACATAATTTAATTATGCTAGAAAAGCACTGACTGAGCCCTTCAATCTGTTCTGCAGACTGAGGTGAGGAGAAGTGAGCTCACTCTCTGAAGTCTCTGCATAAACTCATTTTAAATAAAAATGCTTTCTGTTTATATTAACTTTGTTAGTATCTCTCAGTTGATGTTTGTCTTGGAACGTCACTTCACTAATGGTGTCAAATGGGCACACACTATGTATACATATATGTACATACTATATGTGACACTGTACAGTATGTGTTTGACTGTGAGAGGCAGAGACAGACCTTGGCACTGAAAAAGGGCCATCTGCACAAACTGAGCAGTGACAAATTGCCGCCAGCAGAGCTTAAAGAACTGCTTAATCATCATTACCACAGCCATCGGTTACACTGTACATGTGTGTTCATGTGCTCGTCTGTGTGTATCCCCTGTGGGTTTGTTTTTATGTTCCACCTCATCTGCCGTGTGATATATGTGCTTAATGATCAATGATACTCAAGTTGTCTTTAAATTGCTATGACAGAGTACATAAAAGCCACACACACTAATCTTTTCAAACCTCCTCTCTCTGCTTCTCTTTGTTTCCTTCAGTCCACAGGTTCAGTGTCAACGTCGAGCCAGGTACCAAACTGGAAAGCGGCCCCGCCTCCCTCCACCTGTGCAACAACCTATTGGTCCTCACCAGAGGCGTCCCTCCTGTCGTCATTGGACACTGGAAGCTGTCAGCGTTGCGTCGATATGGCGCTGTGCCAAATGGCTTTGTGTTCGAGGGCGGGACTCGCTGCGGATATTGTAAGTAACTCCTGGTCTGAGAAGGTTTTACTGCTGTGTGAATTTAGACTCTGTGGCCTGAAGCCAAAAAGGGCAACACTTTAATAACTGAATAACAGCTATGAGCAATGCACAGTCCCTCCATGACTGGCTCTGTTTGTTGTTGTTGGTGTTGTATTTGTCTTATTTGTAGGTAACAGACCAAACCTAGATAACATAAGGTCGGAGTAATTTCTACTAGAGCTGCAGTAGTGCTTAAAGGTCCAGTGTGTAGGATGTAGGGAGCTATATTGGCAGAAATGGAATGTAATAAGTATGTTCTCTTTAGTATCCTGACAATAAAGATCATTGGGTTTTTGTTACCTTAGAATGGAAAATGCCATGTTGCATTGCCGTGTTTCTACAGTAGCCCTGAATGCACAAACCAAATACTGGCTCTAAATGGGGCCGTTTGCGTTTTCGTGTAGACCACTGTGGTTGGAAGCCCCTCTGTGACGAGCTGAACAGCACAGGAAAAACACTCGCTTTTAACGTGAAACTGCTTTATTCAGTGTTTAAATCACCAGGTCCGTTTGTTTTGGAGGGGAACAGGACTCTGTAGATAATTTGGCTCCCGGTAAAAACATCCTGAAGGTCTGGATCTTAAGTTAACTAAAAAAAAATGGTGAGCACACATTAGCAGGTGCTGGGCTAGCGGCCTGTCTCTTATGAGCTGGACAGCATTGGAGAAACACTGATTTGCAATGTGAGACTGCTTTATTCGGTGTTTTTATTGGTTATAATCACCTGGTCTGTTTGTTTTGGAGAGGAAGAGCCCTCTACGGCAACTGCAGTCATCACCGCTAGATGTCACTGAACCCTACGCACTGTTCCTTTAAAGAAATCTATGGTCAGCATCGTATGTTGATGTCAGTCCCCCACAGACAAATAGCCTCTTTCTGTGTTCTCATTTTATACCAGTATTCAATACATTGTTGAAAGCACTAGTAACAAGACATGCTGCATTTTGCATAAGCAGCATGACTCAAACCTCCTAAGCTAATACTGTTGCTGTGACATGTGTATATGTTTTGCAAACAAATGGGAACACATAGATTCCTAAAAGAGGAAAACCAATAGTAAGAAATGTCTTCTTACTCAGTGAGAATTAGGATTTTTGTTGCTTGTTTTCCATATATATTGAAGATTATATCTAAAAACAAAAGATATCCTCAAAGATGGAGAAAGTGCTTCTAAGTTCAGAAAACAGGACCATATATTAGCAGTCCTCCTGCAGGGTCACAAAATCCATGAGTATGCATTCAACCATGAGAGATTCATGTTCAGTGTAAGGACGAGAGTAAGTGAACTTCAAAGTCCAACCAACCAAAACTCCCTGGACTGGTATTGTCCATGTGATGTACAACTACTGCAGCACAGTTATCTAAAATCCACATTTTAAAGTGCCTCCCTTGGATCAATAAATGCTCCATTTCATTTCTCTCCAGTGCTCACAGGTTGATAGATCTGTCATTTAACACTAACAGACCCATATAAAAACCTGTGATTTATGTGTTTCAGGTGTTTATAGAGTAACTTGATCCCCTTAGAAATTACTTTCTATGTATGAACCCACCACACTATACGCCTGCCCACCAAATCATGCTGTGTGTGTGTTTGTATGGTTGCCAGGGTGTAGATATCTCCTGAATGTCCAGTTGATGTGGGCATGAATGTGAAGAATGAGTGGCAGTTTTATGTTTTTGGGTGTGTGTGTGTGTGTGTGTGTGTGTGTGATAGAGAAAGAGACATGGACAGCAAGATAGTGAGTGTTCAATGGGATCATGTGTAAAGTGTTTATTGTAGGGAAACCTAACAGCCAGCAGCTGCTGTGTTCCTGATTTTATTAAGACACATACCTGAAAATATTTTTTGTAGCTCTCCTGTGTTAGTGTTAAGAGACGGTTCCTGTACGTGCTTATGTGACATCTGTCTTACTGTGTGTGTGTGTCTGTGCAAACAGTCTCATGGCTCCTACAGGAATAACCATGAGGGCCACAGGCTCTGGTTTCAGTGTTCAAATGGGCAACATCTATAAATACCAGCCTCCCCCTGTAGTGGCCACTCAACCAATTACGTAGTGGCTGCTGGCTAGACTGCCAATCACAGTATTCTTCTTCACCTCATCTACATAATACCCAGCAGCCACCTGGACAGTAGAAAGAGGCCCTCTTGGCATGGCTGCAGAAACAGAATGACATAAGGAGAAAGATGTGATAGTCATATCGGCAAGTGACATTCCTTGCATGAGTGCAAGGTAGAGCCGAGTGTTAGCTTACATTTTTACATGTTTATTTGTATTTGATGAGTGCATGCGGGACATACCAGAGCTCAGCAGTGAGTTTATGGAGTGTTGGAGGCTCTGACTTGCTTCTACCATGAGTACATTGGGTTGTAAGAAAATTTGGATACATTTAAGTATCACACTACTAAGTTCTGTAATACTGTAGTGATTGTCAAAAACACTATTGAGTTACAATGAATAGTTTACATGCAAAGATTTGTGGCAGTGGTTCACTTTGTGTTGTTTAAAGCCCGATCGCTAGATAGCAGTGTTCAGTTCAGTTATTTCAGAACTTAGAGGGCATTACCTCATACAACATCCCTCACAGAGGATAAGAAAAAACTCCACCCAAAAAATCGTTTAATGAGGAAAAAAACACTATTACCCACCAGTATTGTAATTTATCTTCAGCCATTTGATGCTTCCACCTAATGTAACAATGCATCGCTAGCGTAAACACAAAGAACACAGGTCTATGAGTCAAAAAGGGCGCACAGGCACAAATAACATTTTTCTTAAAAATAGTTTTAAAGATTTAGCCTTGCTTTGAGTATTGCAAATTTCACAATATACTGCATCGTGACCTCAGTATCATGATTCAGATCATATCACCAGATTTTTGCCAAAACACCACCCGTATAGAGTGCTGCAGTAATAACTCCAAAAACCTGTAAATGAGTTTGCACTCCAAGTTCACTCATCTTAAAGTCAGTGGGTTTTTTGAATGGGTTTTGGTGAGATGCCCGCAGTACAGTCTGTGGTTAACACAAGTTAAAGAGACTGTTTTGACTTTTCTGTTTTCTTCTATGACATAAAATTTGTCAGTAAATCCCCCACTCACAAGTGGCTAAAGAGACTGCAGAACATCATAACAACATGGCTTTACAGCCTAGTTGTGCTCCAGGAATAAAGTTTTTGGTAGGCAACACCCTAGTTCCCCACAATAAGCTCTGTGACAAACAAACATTTAATACTTGCCTGTTTGTTCAGCAAGATAATCTTCACAAATGAACACCACTTTGTTTTTTGTTTTTGATGCCTAAATGCAATCGCCAGAAGTAAAAAGCTAACGTAAGGCTATAAATGAATTACTCTATGGACGCATGACTTAACGTTGCCCCCACAGCACAGCTGTAAAGCTGTGGTTGGCATGATGATGTTCTGTAGTCTCATTTAGCTACTTGTTAGCAACTGCCTTTTTTAAGACACATAATAGCTTCAAAGTTCACAAATGGGGTGTTAACTGGTGTATTTTATGTCATAGAACAAAACGTACAGGTCTCCTCAGCTTGTATTGACCACATACCTCATTTCAGGCATCTCAGCAAAAACCCATTTTTTAAAAAAACAAAACAAAACAAAAAAAAACAAAACACTGATTTCGAGATAACCAGGAGTGGAAAAATGCTCACTCATTTCCAAGTTTTAGGACTTGTTCCTGGGGCACTCATAGTAGTGTGTTTATAGCCTAATGTTAGCTTTTTACTTCTGGCGGTTGCTTTTATGCTTGAAAAAATTAAAGGTGTTCATATGTGAAGATTATCTTGCTGAAGAAAACGTGTTGGGTGTCATAAACTTTTGTTTGGCACAAAGTTCATTTTCTGCAGTGATCCAAGATTTAGTGGAAAATTCCCATAGGCTCTCTGACAAAGGAATCAGGGCGACATTAATTTCTGCATTAACCTACAAAAAATCGTCATACCTGCAGCACTCGTACATTCCCCAAACACCATTTCTGTATCTTTTCATACACAGCCCAGTTTTCAGTGCCCTTATCTCTAAGCAAATGCGGTGCACCGTGCCTTATATGCTGTATTAGCATGCTAAAGCGTGTCCCTGAGTTCTTTCAGAGGGTGTGCAAATTTATTGCAAGTTCCATGATAATATATGGGTGCTTATAAATCATGCAAAAACTGTAGAATACATAGGAGCCAACACACTGTGCTGCAAAGAAAATCTTGGAGTTTGAACACGAGGAGTTCTTTAATAACACACAGTGCCGTAGTATGCTTGAAAAGTACAATATAGTGGAACATATTTGCATCAGGCCATGATCAGTGCAATAATGTGCAAATGATGCAGAAAAGGTACTGAATAATTTCAGGGAGACATTGTGAAGTCTTCATTAGGATACACTTTTTGGGCACTGTACTTTGAACCAATGTAAAATAACTCCTTTACCCTCTCCGCTCCATAATTTCCCCAGAGGCTTTTTTGCTCGAGCAAATCAGTAAGCGGGTCCCTCGGTCATCTAATGCTGCTGTATAAAAATATTTTACCCTTGACTGCCACTGTGCTCTCTGCTGCAGCTGCACTTTGGAAGTCAGCTGCGCCACGGATGATATGATTTCTGGCTGCAGAGTTGAAGATGTATACCACAGTGACACGACATGCCTTTTTACTGCCATGGAGACACACACACACACACCCTGACAGCCAACGAGCCAGTCCTGTGGGACAGTGGGCAGTCGTGCGTGTGTAAAGCCTTTTACTAGGCAACAATCACTTGAGCTGGGGTCTTCATTGATGTGTGTTGGATGGATACAAGCCTTTGGTTGCACAGTCACATGCACACACAATCACACACACACACACACTGTAACAGTGTGAATCGGTGCATAGTGATATCAGTGCTTCAGCTTCCATTCGATGTGATAATGAATGGTGTTCTGTAATCGATAATATTTGGAGCAGAGCC